TTGGGGGGGGGGGGGGAATAAAGGAAGCAGAAGACCCTCTATCCTTCTTTCTCCCTATCCCCCCAAGAATGTTTTTACAGCCATACTGCAAAGCAAAGAATAAAACCTGCTTTAAAGTTCCAGTTAGTTGAAAATCTTGCCCGGGCTATAAAAGGACAGGTATATTTGGGGAGTGGAAAGGTGGGAATATGGTCTGAAATCTCACAATAAGCACAGTGAGGGCACATGTTTATTTAAGAAGGTTCTTGTATGTCTGATCAAGTGTACTGCATAAGCATGTCTCATCGTGCATTCATTAGTCATCTCTGACAGCCATAGTAAGCTCAGAACAAAATCCTGCCTAGAATCTTCAAGACTATGCAGTATTAGAGGCGCGCACATACAGCACTGAGTAATCAGGTTTGTTTTGTCAGTGGCGAACTCAGGTAGGTATTTCAAAGTACAAGGCCTGATCTTGCCCTATTGAAGTCAATGAGGATTTTTGTTGCTGACTGAAATAGGAATAGAATTGGACTTGTATGTGGCAGCCACATAGATCAGATTTACGGTAGGGTGTATTGTGAGAGAGTGTTTGAGTGTGGCATCCTCCATCTCTGGTAACTCCAGGGTAAAATTCAGAATTATAAACAAGCAGGGATCTATATTTTTATTTCTATTTATACTCTTCCTATTATGGCACTCTACAGAGTGAGGCATTTTTTTCCACCATAGAAACTTTCCGTAGCTGAGTTCAGACAAGAATAAACATTTGGCTCCCTGGGATCTGTGTCCCTTACCAGTTCCTTTTGCCCAATCAGCATCCAACTGGGTGAATAAAATTAATTCTAAAAACTTTACTTTGAGCTTTTTAGGTGGACAAATTGATATAGATTCAAAATGACAGCCAAGAAGATCATTGGTTCTACCTAACAGAGCTGATTTTAATTTACAGAATAGTTATTTGAATACTTCCTTGCAACAACAGAGTTGCTGGATCTGATGATTTGTGTGTGTGCTAACTCTGGCAGTACATATTTCAGTCAAAAGCATAAAAGAATGAACCCAATCATGGAGCAAGATGAGGAAGCCTTTGGTTTGCTTTAATTTTAGAAACTCCATTACAAAATGTGCTTTTCTTTCCCCTCCCATATAGCTCTAAAAGACAAGACATCATATTAATCTATGGCATAAGCAGGTGAAAGTGCCATTGAATTAAATGGGAGTTGTTGCTCTTTACACTGCTGAACTGAAACAAAAGTATTTAGATTAGGGATGGGAAAACTGGATTATATAAAATATGAACCAAACCCTTCATTCAGAGATTAAGCCAAATAGTTTTGAGAGAGTTTGATAGTTCAGTCCACTGCTTTTTTTTGGGTTAGCTTTTCCCCCTTTGATTTTGAAGGGCACCCACAGTGGAAAAAAACATAGAAAAGTCCATTTCTCTTGCAGTATTTCTAATCCAGCCAATTTTGAGGGCAATTTAAGTTGTTTGTTCTTGAGTGTTCTGGGGTTTGATTTCTCTCATTCTCATGTTTTATCTACCCTAACTGTGGCATTATTGCATGAATTCTCAGAGCTGTCTTTGTTCCTAGATGCCCTTACTCCCATTTGTAAGCAGCCAGCATCGCAACCCCTTACCCTCTCCCAGTTTCATGCCAGGCCTACACTAAAAGAGAATGCCAAATAAAGATACCACTCCAGCTACGTTAAATATTTGGCTGGAGTCAACGTATCTTTCTTTGAGTTTCCCTGCCGTCCCCACAGCGGGAGGCAGACAGGAGCAAATGCTCTTGTCAGCTTCCCTTACTCCTCCCAGAAGCAGGAGTACCAGACACCAACGGGGGCACCATCTGAGTTTGATTTAGTGACTCTTCACTAGACTCACTAAATTGAACTCGGAGATTGATCACAGCTGCCTCAATCTTCCATTTAGTGAAGACATGGCCTCCAATTGGTGGCTGCCGGAAGTGATTGTTGAGGACCACCAGGACTTTAATCTTCAATATTGCCAACTTCTCATTCTTAGAAATCATAAATCTAATTTAAATCGCATCAGATTTTTTTAAATGAATAAATTCTAGGAATCTCTTATTTACTTTCCGAGTTTTGAGCCTTTTAGGAGTCAATATTTTCATGCTTTACTCTGCTGGAAACGTCCTTTATTTTTAATCAAAACTGAGCATCTCCTATAATAATATGATTCCATGACCTGGAGCTTTAAGAAAAATATCAAACACAGTGAGACTCTCAATTAAATCATGAGTTTTGGCAACTCTGAGTCTCAACTCTGAGAATTCTTCAGAGTCTTTAGGAGAGACTGAAACTCTGTTGGTCCATGAGTCACTTGAGCACTTTATACTTTGTGCCTGCCCACTGCCACATTGACTTCGGCTGAGCAGTTTACGTTTTTATTCTCTTCTCACCTGCCTTCGAAGCAGTGCCAGAGGAGTTCTCAGAAGGAGCTTGGAAACACCTTTGTAGCTGTTTAAAATAAACAGAACTGATGGCAGAACATGTTGTTGTCTAATGTAAGCACTAAAAGGGGTTGTCAGACATTCAAGTTTGGGCAATGCAGTGGAGATGAAGCAGTATAATTTATAGGTTACATTATAATAGATGCCCTGCTAACTTTTAAAAATGAGCAATTATTTATTTTTATCCAGTTCACCCCACATGATCCATTTCTCTTCATTCTATTGAGGTGTTTTAATAGAGGCAGGCAGCTGTTCCATCTCTCTTAATTATTTTATTTTGTCAATCGCACTTCTTGAGTGGATATTTGCTCTTGCATCCTGTCTCTCTGATTAGTTGTACATATTTCCACTGGCATCTGCTGACTTATTCAAAGCCTTGTTAGCCAGTTGTGACTTTATTTTCCATCTTTCCTGAATGCATACACTATAAAGCAGCCAAGAAATATTTCAGGTAGCTGCTCTCAGACATTTTGTAAACCATGCTACGAGAGGTTACTTTTTAGAAGATAGAAGAGACTGTGGAATCCATTAGGGCTTGATAGACTCAGGGAGATTTTTAGGAGGATTAAAACCTCACAGGATGGGGGTAGGCTGGCGTCCTAACCCAGTGGTAGCATGGGCCAGGAGGAGAGGGACTTCCCCAGTCTGGCAAATCCCCTTATTTGGGACCAGTCAGGTTCCAAAGGTGCTGGATCAGCAAGGTCCAACCTGTAGTAACCAAAAGTTGTTGGTAGTTATTCTGGGGTTATTTAAAATGGACTCAGCTCACTGCACAGAAAACAGGACTCCAAATCATGAAACTACCACTGGAACTGGTGCTGTCACCCTGGATGGCAGACTCAGCAAAGTCAGGGACTGAATAGGCAGAGACTTAGGTCTGTAATGTAGATGTGACCCTACAGTGGAACAGGTGTGCCTCTATAAGGGCTTCTATCTAACCACTCACTCATCTCACTCATTTGTTCATTAATATCACCTGCACTGTGGGAGACTGTGTTTGGTAGGAGACTGTGTCTCACCAGACAAAGCACTGTCCACACCAGCACTTGCATTGGCAAAACTTGGGTCTGTCACCATAGGATTTTTTTTCTTCCCCCCCCCCCCCCCCCACTCCGGATCAACAAAAATATTTTTTACTGACAAATGCACTAGTGTAGACATGTAGGTGTGATCTATTTCTGATCTGGAGGGATGAAGTCTGCAGACAGGGTAGCAGCACAAGGAATAGGGATGTAAAATACCATTTAATTAACTGGTTAACCAATTAAAGGAGGGCAGGTGGGCTGGAGTGGGTCCCACCTTATGGACAGGGGCCTGCTCCAGGTGGATGGAACAGCCCCTGCCTGCACTGGGCCTCATGGGCCTGGAGCAGCCCCTTCCCACAGAGGGCCAGGAGCTGCTCCAGATCCTACCGGTTAACCAGAACCAGTAGGCCTCACCTGTTAAGGGTGAGGCTAACCAGTTAACCATTCACATCCCTAGTGGGTAAACTTGCAGAGAGTCTTCCTATTCTCTTCTGTAGATAAGAGCGCTTGACTGTTAGTTCTATATATTAGCTGCAGTAAACTCTTTTATGGGTTGTCCCGTATCCCCATGTTGAACCCTATTGGCTTCAGTGGGTCTGCACAGGATTGCAAGCGTCTGTCTGCATTGTTCAGGGACTTCCAGCGTTTGCTATTTTAATAATAAAATGGATGTGCAAGTTTCAAAGTATCCAGAATATGTAAACTTGTATCATGTAGGTAAAAAGATACGTGATTACAATTCTGGAAATCTGACCTGTGATGGCTGTAAAGGGATATGAAGTAAGTTTACAAATATTTGTAGCTAACCACAAAGCTTGCATTTTATTAATTGACAATGATACAGTGTTTATAAAACAACTGTAACTACTAGACTTTTAGTTAAGCCTGTAACTTTGTCCCAAGACATTTAAGAAAATATTACTGCCAGTTAAGTTAAATGACACATGTTCTTTACCATCTTATTTGGGAAGCATATTGTAAACTCTTCCATCCTTTATTGAACCTATTAACAGTAGATGCAGTGGACAGCTTAGTTCACAATGCCTGATCACATCTTTTTGGCAGTTTGTCTTTAGGATGGTTTTCTTTTCCATCCTGGAATGTAAGGACTTTCTGCCTATCTTTGAATGTATTTCACTGTTTGGAGGACTTGTTTTACCTTAATTTTTTACTTTTTTTTCTGATGGGTGCATTTCAGTTACTACCTAAATATTATCTGATTACCTGAGAAATGTATTTTGGGGGGAGGGGGGAGGAGGAGAACACAGAATTCAAAGGTGAGTGACCTGATGAATGCTACTTTCATGTGGAAAGAGGCCTACAGTATTCTTTTGCAGTGTCAGACGTGATTCCAACATTCCATAGTCAGAAAAACACTATTCAGATCAAGAATAATATACAAATTCACAGACTTTTTAAGACTAGAAGGGCCCATTATTCTCCTCTAATCTGACCTCCTGTACAACATGCCACAGAATTTCAATGTGATGGCAGTGAGTGACTCTGTTTAATATACTTTTTGACGGCATTGCATGGTTTTGACCTCCTGATCTGGGGCTTGTATGTAAAGGGCAAACAGGTTTTCTTTAGTATCCTAATTCTTTTAAAATGTGTTTCTTCTGAATTTAAAAGTTATTATATGCTTCACCGGGGAAATAGTTTATTAAAATAATGTGATTTATGGTTTCAACCAGGCCTGCTACTGGAGGTGGCAAAAGAGCAATTGCCCCAGGGCCCAGAGATTCAAGGGGGCCCAGAGCTCCCAGCTGCTGTTACTGCAGAGGCAGCTGGAGCCCTGAGCCCCTTTGAATTGCCACCAGAGTGCAGCTCAGTGTGGCTCCAAGGACTCAGGGAGAGGGAAGTGTGTTACAGTCTGAGCAACACTAAGGGCTGACCTGCTCTTGACCCTGCTCCTTCTACCTGAGCTCTGCCCTTCTGGGCGTGAAGCCACCCCCCTGAGACCTTCCATGGTGGCTGTCAGCCCAGCTAGTTTCAACCATGGGGCGGAGGGAAGCAAAACAAGTTAATTCCAACACTTGGTCTGATCCTGAAAGGTGTTTGGCCCCAGTGGTATGTGGATGCCTACAATGAGGCTGCTAACTCCATAATTATGCACGCAACCAAACGGAGCCTCTCTTTTTCAGGGGTACTGAGTAGCCTCAGCTTCACTAGAGTCCTTCGTACCTATACATGTTCAGCACCTCTGAAAGTCAGGCCGCTCTTGTTGTGGAGCTCAGGATCTGCTTTTAGACCTCCAGGCATGAAACCACAAGCCTAAACACTTCCATAAACTCATGCCACAAAGCAGACCAGAGGTTACAGAACCGCTGTGCTGAACACCCCACCACTTTCTCTGGTCAGATCAGTTTTGTTGTCACCAAGAAGGAAGCAGCAACTGGCTGCAATATTCTGAGATGGATGCTATGCCTGACAGAAAAGGGAGAGGCAGGCACGTCCTCTGTCATGCCTATGGAGCAACGCCTTTTAAATACACACTCTCTTTTCTCCTGGAGTCTGATGACATTATGGTGTAAAGAGAAGGCCTTAACATGCTTGATATTGTGTATATAGTCATAGTAAGAGACTAGCAGGACTGACAGCCTTGCTGGGTTCGTGGGGAAGGGGGGGATGGGCTGCTCATTCAGAAGGGGCACGGCTGGGGCAAGGCAGCCTTGAGCACCACCCAGAGAACACTGTGCCTCCCTTTAAGCTCTCAGTGCTTCTTGGAATATGCCTTGCAATGCTCTGGCAGTGAATTTTAAAGGGCCCGGTGCACTGCCTTTTGTATCACCAGGCCCCAGGGTAGTTGCCCCCTTTGCTTTCCCCGCTTCCCCATTGGCGCCTTCCTTGAAGAGCTTATAGTCTAAATAGAGAAAGAAGACCTCAGATCAGAGGGGGAAAGGAGGGAAGAGCCTAGGGTCTCACAGGTGGTTAATGACAGAGCTTCATTTAGAATCCCAGACTCCTGACTTCCAGCCCAGTGCTCTGTCTGCCCCAGAGGCCATAAAGCTGCCTCCATTTTTGTCTTCAAGATGTGAAATTGCTTTTTAAAAGGTAGAAATAAATTAACTGTCTTGTAGAAATAAGCTGTTTCATGCATGCTCTTATGCTAGTCTGCTGAAGATGGGTGGGCTCCCCCCTTTGAATGGTGTTAAAGAGAGTGAGGCAAGATTGTATGTGTCCTAAGTTGTAAAAGTTAAGTAAAACTGTAAAAGTTCATGTAAGCTAATCCATATCCTGATCCCAGGGTGAGGAGCAATGACCGGTGAGAAGGAGGGGAAAATGCATCTGTTAAGCATAGTGCAGAAGAACGGATCATGTGTAACACACTATTTGGAATGTGGGGAAGTCTACTAGAACCCTAGTTATATTTTCTAGTCCCCAAATACTTCATCTTAGTCCCTTACCGGAGAATAGACATGTGGCTTCCACAACAGATTATGGGACTAAGCCAAAATCCACAGAGGGCTTTGAATCATGCCTGTAACCCTGTACTTAAAAATGTAATTGTTGGCATTTATAAAGAAAAGCACCTAGTAACATTTCCTGAATGCCCAATTTCCCTTTGAGCTGTAAACATTTGGTGCACTAGTCCTTTTGTCACTTAATGGTGTACATGTAGATAGCTAGAAAAATCTGGTTTTGATGTACTGCATTATTTAAGTTGGAAATGCTTCAGTGTCTTTCAGAAAGTTCTGAACTCTTCATTGGCAAAGCCATTTAAAGGAAATGATGATCAAACACACATGGAAAGGTGAAACAGTGATGGTTCAGAGACTGTCTGTTTTCTTTCACCCTCAGCTTTATATTCAGGCCAGACGGCCTCAGAATCTGACTTTGTCAATTGCCAGAGCGACATACCCTTCTCATCCCCTGAGGCTGCAGGGAGTGAATAGAGGAGTAGCATACCAACAGTACCAACCTGTGGTGATGCTCGAAGAGGCCTATACTGTTCAGTGGGATGGGAGAGCACCTGAGGATGTCATTCTGTACCCAATCAACTTCAACAGGTACTACCCATGTTTTTTTGTATGGTCCAGCTCTGACAGGAGTATAGATAGCTATGATGCTTTTCCAAGTCTTTTGGCACAATAACAGCAACTTCTGAGAACTGCAGTAAGTTGTTTATAATTGTATCAGTCATCAACAAGTGCCTCTGTGTTCACTTTACTGCAGCCTTTCTAAAGTGCAGAGACTTTTCTCCTTCCAGTAAGTTTTGCAATGAAATCCAGTTTACCACGGGCATGCTGTCCCAGATCCAAAAGAGTCCTCGCATGCTCTCTTTCATTTGTTTACACTAGCTGCAGGACACATGCTTTATTTTCCACACATGTACATAAAGTGCAAAAATTTACTTAAATGTGTCTGGAGAATCACATCTTCTCTGGCCTAAACTATGACACTTTTATAAAGTTTAAAAATACCGAAGTGTCTGCTGAAATATTTCAAAACTGATTTTAAAACTCTATTCTGTTTCCATGTTTCCTTGTACCTTCTCAGTATAACATTAGGTCATACACACTTTAAACTGACTTTTCCCCTGCAGGTTGTTCCATTTTCTCCCCCCACATCCTCCACAGCCCCATTGAGCTCTACTGTTTTTTAACGAATGGTAAAGGGACTGATTTGCTATGACATGTACATGGGTTTTATAGTGACTTGCTTCTGTCCACTTCAGTGCAGTTGTACCTGATTTGCATTGGTTTAACTGAGAGGAGAGACAGCATCACAATATGTGAAGTGCATCTATTATTTACATTGTCAAAATAAGTTTCAGAGGGGTAGCTGTGTTAGTCTGTAACTATGAAAACAATGAGGAGTCCTGTGGCACCTTAAGTAAATCTGTTAGTCTCATGCATTACAAATTGCTTAAACTCATAGGGACAGATTCATAAAAAGTACTCATGTTGAAGCTGAAGGCAGGAATGGAATGGGATTTTCAAAAATGCATAAGCAGGTTAGGAATCTCTTTACATCTTTGGATGCCTAAATAGCTTTGTAAGTCTAACCCATAGAGAACATTTAGTTCAGTTTCTGCAGGATAGTTAATTTGTGCAGGTTTTAGCAAAAGGCAGCATTTGGGCTCTATTTTGAATATCTGGTTCCCTCTCATTTCTGTGCTGAAAATTTTTGGGATCAAATTCTGCCCTGAGTTACACACGTGAAATGCCCCACTGATGTCCATGGAATCACGAGTGTGATTGGGGAAGGGGGATTATACCTTGGTTTTATCCACCAGACAGATGTTCTGAAACAGATCTGTTAACCTCTTTGTCTCTGCTATTGTCCCTTGGAGCTCTGGGTATGGGTGAGAGGATTGTGCTTTTGTTGTGCTTTTTGTTTTGTTTTTCTCTTCTTTGCAGGACTGCTCATAGAGCAGAGGTGCTTAAGCTTTGCCCAAGCAAAATCCATTTTGACAATGTGCTGGTATCTAAACAGCCCCATCATTGTCCAAATGGCTCACTGCTACTGCCTGAGAAGGACAAGTTTGTCAATGATACTGACAGGAGAGGGGGAACGGTACATATGCTGAAAGGCAGTGTTCCCTCTAAGTTGAGTGCTCGGTGGTTGCCCTGGAGAGATACAAATGCCACCCAGCTGATTAGCAGAATGCTCACAGCTGGCAGCATGTGTTTCTACTGGCAGTATGCATCTGCACATGCCTCTGTGCACATGGATGGAAAAAAAATAGGGGGAACAGTGCTGGAGGGTAGGGACAGGATCCAAGGTGATCTAGACAAATTGGAGGATTGGGCCAAAAGTCTGATGGCATACAACAAGGACAAGTGTATGCACTTAGGACAGAAGAACTCCATGTACTGCTGCAGGCTAGGGACCAACTGGCTAAGCAGCAGTTCAGCAAAAAAGGACCTGGGGATTACAGTGGATAAGAAGCTGGATATGATTCAGTATGCCCTTGTAGCTAAGAAGGCTAATGGCATATTGGGCTGAATTAGGAAAGGATATGGGCAAATTGGAAAGAATTCAGTGGAAGGCAATGAAAATGATTAGAGGGCTCCGGCACATGACTTATGTGGAGAGGATAAGGGAACTGGGCTTATTTAGTCTGCAGAAGAGGAGAGTGAGGAGTGAGTTTGATAGCAGTCTTCAACTACCTGAAAGGGGAGAGGAATTCCACAGAGGATGGAGCTGGCCTGTTCTTCATGGTGGCAGATGACAGCACAAGGAGTAATGAGAGGAGAGAAAGTATCATAATATGTGAAGCGCATTCATTATTTACATTGTCAAAATAAGTGTGAGGGTTAGACTGTGTCTGTAAAAACTACAAGGAGTCCTGTGGTAACTTAAAGACTAACAGATTTATTAGGGTGTAAGATTTCATGGATTAAAAACAGGGCTGGATTACCCAATAGGCAGACTAAGCACATGCTTAGGGCACCAGCAAAGCAGGGGCACCCCAAAAAATGAGATTTTAGGGTATAGTATTGTTTTTATTTTGAATTGCATATGGGAGGGTACCATCATCTTTTCAGTGCTTAGGGCCTCTAAAGGTTTTAATCCAGCCCTGGGTAAAAAACACTTCATCAGATGAATGTGGCCAGTTGCAGTGGGTGAGGTCTAGATTAGATATAAGGAAAAAACTGTTTCACAGAAAGGTGGGGAAGCACTGCAATGGGTTGCGTAGGGTGTGGCGGAGTCTCCATCCTTAAAGGTTTTTAAGGTCCAGCCTGACTGGAATGGCTTAGTCTGTGTTGGTCCTGCTGTGAACAGGCGGATGAACTAAATAGCCTTCCTGAGTTCTCTTCCAATCCTAATTTTTTATGGTGCTAAGACCTTCCCAATCTCTATGCAGAGATGTTGTTCACAGACTCCATATATCCCATTATGAGCCCCTCCATCGTAATTCCAGAAGCCTTCTCAAGTGCCCATGCTGAGATGCAAACTGCAGACGTCTGTGATTTAAAGATGTAGATAAAATGTGGGTCCTGTGTGTGTGACGGCTTGCACACTCGTGCGATAGGGAGCGATTAACGTGTCTAAGAGTTTTCAAAACCTTGTGCTTTTGCAGAGAAGAAAAGTCCATTTGTCATCTGAGGACAAGACCTAGTTTGGTCACTTTCCCTATTTTAAAAGTAATTTTCTTTGCAATTTTACAAAGAAATTATACAGCTAAATCTTCAGCGGGTATCACTGGTGTCTCCAGGGGAGCCATGCCAGTTTTTACTCTAGGCGAGGCTCTGGCCCCCAACATCAAAACAGATTCAAATTTATAAGCAGCCCCCGGGTCTCTGACAAAAAACCCAGCCAGAGATCTGGTCCTTTAGTCAGGCAGCAACATAAACACATAATGTATTCAAAAACCACAGTGTGGTTAGTTTCACAAAAGAGAACTACAGTAAGATAATTTTGACTGGGGAAAAGTTGATCAGGAAACCATTGTCAGGCATTTGAAGAAATGCACTATACTGAGAATCCACAATTTTGCTTCATCTCAATAAAGCTTCTTACTAGCAAGAGTCTAGAGTGAAACAAGTGTAGGAAATCCCTGTTCTGAGTAAACTAGACACTGTAACCAGTGCAGCCAGGGATAAAATGACTTACCAGCAAACAGGGGCAATTGGTGGGGCAGGGGGACTTGTTCTCGGGCCCTGGAAGGAGCAGTGCCTGAGGCAGAAGGGGTTGGGCTAGAAGCCATCGTCACACACCCACCAGCCCTTCAGCTCTGTACCCCTATCCAATTTAAAGGGCTGCCACAATGGTGGCAGGGGCTGGAACCTCTGGGCCCTTTTAAATCACTGGGCCCCACATTGTTGGTCTTGCCAGTACAGTCCTTAAAGCACTGCTGAAGCAGTGCTTTAACATCAGCTGTGTACCAGCAGCCACTTTCTTACTGGTACTCAGTACCATTACCTCTGGATGTATTCGGAATGATGAAGAGTTTAGGCTGCACGGAAGAAGCACTGAGAGAAAAGAGGTTCTGGAGGAAGGGCAAAGTAGCTGAGGTGAAAACAGGATTTTGATTAAAAAACACTGTCTCTTAAGCATTTCCAAAGTGACCTTTACTTCAGCACAGTTTTTTCTGTTTTTGGAATGGAAGAAATAACAAATTACCAAGACTGAGATCAAGTTAAACCTCTTGGGAAGATATTACCTGGGAAGATAGTACCTGCCTTAACAGGTCTTCCTGACTTTTAAACACATAGCACTGTGAATAATCAAGCAGAAAATGAACGTGGTCTGGACATAGAGGAGAGTGTAAAAACTGCACGGTTAGCAAAACCAAGAAGAATGATTGATAAGCTCAAGAGCAGTGTCTTGGGAGTAATAATTTTATTAAATCATTAAACTGTTTCTACCTGGCATTGGTAGAGCAGTGGTTAGCTCTATCAGGAATATTGATGTTTTAGCTAGGCAGCACGGCTGTTTCTGGAATAAGTATTTTGAGTTGGATAGAAGAAGGTCAGAGGGGAAATAAAGAATTTGACAGTGGGATGCATACCAGGATTTGGACTGCTCCAACAGTCAGACATAATACTCATGCTGAATACTTGTCTGGTTAACTCCTTCGTTGCCTCCAAAAATTCCATAAATCCCAACAGTGGTGATTTACATTGAATTCACATCTGTTTAAAGCAGTGATATTCAGACCGCAGTGGTTCAGGAGCCAAACAAATGATCAGTGTTACCTAAAAACCAGAGTAATGTGAAATCATTTTCACTCACTCTCTTTTTCTGTGTACTCAAAGGAAAATGACTGACCAGGTATTTCACAGTAACATAGTAAAAGCATCCTGATTGGTGGTTAATTAAATCACAGTTTTAATATCATGTGCCGCAAAGATTCCCCTCATGAGATGGTAAAGAGCCACTTGCAATTCCTGAACCTCAGTCTGAGAGTCACTTGTTTACAAAATTGAAGCCCTGGAATGTGGTCAGAGGGGTAAATCAATATGCCTCAGTTAAAGTCAAAGAAGCAATGCAGATTTACTCCAGGTGAGACTCTAACCTAGCGTGTCATAGAATCATAGAATACTATAGGACTGGAAGA